ACAAGATGCACTGGAGATAACAAAGGGTTGACCGCGGGCCAAAGGCTCGTGAGAAATCACCCAAATATTCTCACTGGTCTTCCTACCACAGACCATTTATTTAGAGAATTTTAATGATATTTCTCTGAAACCTGACTCAAACTGTTTTACAATGATAATAAAAACAATATACAATTAAAAACATAAAAAACCAAAAACTTACAAGCAGATCTAATGGCAAAAACACCGGTGCTGAATATGCATGACTGATTTAATGAACCATTAGAGCCATCACTAATACAACAACTAAGCCAGGAACCAAACAACAACTGAGCCCGCTGCCTGGGTGCTGGTAGGTCATCACCCCCCCATGCAAAAAATGTGGCCGTAGTTAGGTATAAAGTTGTATGTGAACCGCTCAGAGACCCTTCGGGGTCAGAGCAGTATATCACCAAGTTGTAGTCATACTCATAAAACCTTTACAAAATTACAGTACTTTTCTGTAAATGCAAAGCAATAAACCAATGTAGCAACACTAGATGAAAATTAGTGATGTGGCTAAAGCAATACAGTATGAAGTAATGCAGCTTATATTGCATGTTCACAGTCAGAAGACTAATTTCTCTCACTTTAACTTGAACACAATGACACTGAATGCCATACAGTTTAATATTTGCTAAGCCTATACAGATAAATAATCAAATGTGCCTCAACTGTTAAGCATCCTTCATACCTAAGGCATACTTCAAAGGGTATGGTTTGCATTCCCAGGTACCTGCAGCCATATGTTCATAAAACATTTAAAAAAATAAAATTCTGTCATTCTAATCAAATATTGTATTATCACAGAAAACACTGCCTGCATATCTTGTACTGCACATCATTAGCATTATTCTGGCTATATTTTGTTTGGAAGAAGTCAGATGAAGTTTTCAAATGGATGGGCTATTAACTTTTCCATGCTCAAAAAAACCTATTACTTCATGAGGAAACATGATTTTATTCACGGTAGTTCACCTTTGGGGAAATGAAATTTTTACCTTGACTCTCAAAAAGTCAGTAGTTCTGCATTAGGATTTTCTTCCCAGCCAGCATGTGTTTCTTGAGATTCCTCTGAAGCAAAATGTATACCACCCTCTCTTGTATTATTATTATATTATGTAAAGTGCCTCAGATAAAACATGTTCTTTTGTTAACTACTAAAACTCTGAAAATATGTGATTTTTTTTCTAGAGTAGTACCTCAAGTATTTGGAATGGCTCTTATTTGAAAATCAAAACAACTTCAAAGAGTTACACAATATTCCAAGCATTGCTTTTTGACAGAGATGCTATTTTGAAGAAAGCATCCACTGCAAAATATATTTTTTTAATATTATTGGAGTTGAAAAATAATTCGTTTTAGAAATGGATTTAGAGCATGAATACTAGGCTGTGCAGAGACATCAGTTTTTCACTTAATATAACCCAACATAGGCCCCAGTCACACGGGCCGGATATCGCGGGGGGGAGGTGTGGCTAATTGCCCTGGAGGAAACTAATGTGCAGCTGCCCGAGCACACGTCCTGGTTGAGGTCCTGTGGTTCGGGGGAAATGCCGATCAGACGGGTATCCTGCAGCAGGGCACAGAAGCCGTGCTGCGCTATCACTCTTTGTGCGCATGCGCTATTGGGCGCTGTTGCGCAACTTGCGGAGACGAACAGTGGTGGGCGCCGGATGCCACGTAAGTCCATCGGGAACACGATCAGATGCCCGCCCTTGGCCCGCGGTTTCAGGAAACTAGTACCTCATAGGTACTAGTTTTTAACTCCGCACTTTCAGCGGGGAGCCACGGGTTCACAACGGGAGCACTGCGCTTCTCAGATGTTGGGGTGAGATCGTGCCTGGAAAATCTGAGGGACTCCCGTGCCTCTCCCGCGGCAACTTCGTCGTGTGACCGGGGCCATAGAGTAGCAAATATGATAGAACTGGAGAAATCACCAGAACTGAATTAACAACAAAACTAACAGTGCAGTTCTAAACTTTGTCTCAGAAACAGGTCTCACTGAGTTCATTGGGGCTTACTCCCTAGTGAGTGCAGCTTTACAGTGCAATCATAAACAGAGTCACACCTTCCTAAGCCCATTTACTTCAATGGATTTAGAAGGATGTAGTTATGCTTAGGATGGTACTGTTAAACATCTAAGGGAGTAGTCATCACCTTCTAAATCCATTCAGAATAAAAGTGATCCTTCTCACCTACACATATATCACATCCATTTCCTTTATCCCTGGCCAGATTATGCTGTCAGAAAATGCAGCCTGTGTACAATATATGTTTAATCGAAAGAAATGATCTGGCTCTTTAAAAGATTGTTTTACTACATATTTTCTTATGTGTGTATTTTGGGGAGGAAAGGTTAAATTGCTCAAAAGAATAGACAAGGCTTTTGATATTTAGAGCTGTCCACAGTGCTGAAAAGGAAAGCCTGCACGCTGTGGAGAGTTGATAGTTTTCATCTTTCCACTATGAAAACTGAGCTTTTATGTATATCTATATAAACATACTTTATCTGAGCTCCACCAGGATTCCATAGCCCATCCTCAACAATTAACTGTATTGTTAAGGTCTTCAACTAAGATAATTAAGTTTGGATAGATTTAGAACTGATGGGGGCTTACATACCACCTTGAAAGCCTTTGTTAGAACTAAAAATGTCACAGAAGTATTTCAACTTTCTATCAGTAAGATCGTTGAGGAGCATGATACTAGGAAACTTAATGGACGGTTCCATGCAGGACATTCTGGCAACTGAAGTTACTTTCATTGTTTGTTAACAAACTAAAACAAATAATAACTGGTAAGATGACAATGCAACATTACTTCCTTTAAAACTAAACCAATGTACAGCAACTCAATTAGAGAAGTCATTTCCTACTGTTATCCCTTACGTTAATTAAACCTTTTCTCAGAGTACACAGCTAATCTAGATAATCTAGATAAAATTATAAGTAGAATCACATAAGCCACTTTGTCTTAAAATACGATTGTCAAAGAACCATCATGTCATCAGTTCAGAGTAGAATTTGCATTATTGCACATATTAGATTTCCCCCTATAGACTTATTATTTTAATATCAAAGGAAAGAGATGAAAACTTTTTCAAATTTAGTAAAACTAGTTGTTTTATTGAAGATCACTGTAAATGGATCTTAGAAATAGTTACACAACTGTAATTACAAGTTAACTTTTATTACATAAAATGTGCTTTACAGATCAACAAGCAAGTGTAAAGCTAATTTCTCCAAAATCTTATTGGGTTGAAACACTATAATAAATTCTACTGCAGTGAATTAAGTGGAAGAAACCAAGTAGCCATAGGCAATGCTCATTATCATAACATATTACCCTATCCAATGCACATTTACTCTGAAGTAAGTTCCACTATGTTCAGTGAGGTTTGTTACCAGGTATGTATGCATGTGATAGTGGTAATGGATTCTTTTTCATTTCATATACCACATCATTATTCCTAAATAACACTGTTCTATACAATTGGTATAAATTAAAATTCTGTTTAAAGGAATCTAGACTATATTATTCAGATGTGCTCTGTCATCTAAGTTCATTTGGTAGTAAAACTTTGCTTATCTCCTTTTGTGACAAATAATCTTTAACAGAAGGCTTTATTTAGAGCATTGAAATTATGTGATATCATTGTAATTTTTAAAATATTGCTGATTTACTGAAAAATGGTGTTTAAAAAGGTATTTGGTAAATTCATTATAAATTTCAAGTAAAAAAAGATACAAATAAGTAAAATTCTTTATAAATCATATTTTTAAAATCATGGTTTTGCATAAGTATTCCTACTGGAATTGCATTTTTAAAAAACACAACATGTACGTTCAAATCTCCCCACCAAAAAAAGCCTTTTAAAATGTCTTTTTATGTAAATACAGTGTCTGTCCAGGGTATTCTACAGGTTAGGTCAATCAGCTCTATGACCTTGAACTAAAACCCACACATACTTCCTAGAGATGAACTCCTGAATGAAAGACAGAAAAATTTTGAAACACCATAAGAAGAAAATAAAGCTTCCTATATGATAATGCCAGCCCATTGCATATGATGATATTTCCCTCCATTAATATATTACATGAAAAAATTGTGAAAAAAATCTTAAATATATTTATTATTGTCTTCATTACAGGATTTCTTTTTTTTTTAATCATAGCTTTATATAGGAGTAGAAGGTACCCTTCAAATTCCATGGTTCCATGACTGCAATTCTATGCACACTTGCCTTGAAATAAGTCCCACTGAAATCAGTGGGACTTAATTCCAAGTAAATATGCATTCAAAGGGGGGAATATATACCATCAGTTCTGAAGGTCTATTTCCTCACAAGTGTATGTGTTGAGAAGCCACATTATATATATATATTCCAATTCAGAAAATATCTCTGAATTAGAGTATAATTCTTCACCTAAAGTCAAGAATGAATGTATTTAGTCAAAAGCAATGCTAAATCATTCACTCTTGAACCAAAGGTGTTCCTAGCTGACTGTTACAAATATTCTCATTGGTCATTCTTGGAGGACTACAAATGTTCTAGACAATGATTGACCAAATTCAAACCTGTATTTTCTTGGAGTTCTTTTAAAAACTTTTTTTTTAATTATCAGGTCTGTATTTGCATGTCAGACATTTAGCAAAGCATAACCAAAGTGACTGATGCCATTACAGTTAATCATGTGATCCCGTGAGAGCATATGGATTAGCATAGCATGCAGTTATTGGAGAAGGACAGGTATTATAGCCCCTTCTCATTTGCATTAACAAATTGCCTTTACAGCAAGCAAAGCATAACTAGTACATGCAGACTACTGTTTCCAGGCATCAGAAACAACAATACAGGACATAAGCAATTATGTTGTTATATATTCAGTAAGAATGCATCAGCGCAGTCTGCTTAATTTCACAGAAACGTCCTTGAAAGACAGGTAGCAAGAAGCCTCAGATTCTAAAGTGGAACGTACCTGAATTTCTCTTGCGTGGTATACAATAATCAGACCAAGCAGAATGATTGTAGAGAGGCTAATAAGGCATTTTAGGGCTAATGAATACAGCGATTCCTGCAACAGAAAAATAGATACTTTTTACATTGATCTTTAGTCCTTCATCCCAGGCATCTCAGAGGGGAATACAGGCTATCTGTTGCAAGAAAAAATGCCAGTGGTCTAAAAACAAACAAGCCAAAGCCAAAGTGTAAACTCATTGAAGCAAATGAACTCAGTGCTAGAACAGGTGAACGCTTAAGGGCCCACCAAAGCAATGGGGAGTGAGTCAGCCTACAAAGTTACTTGCCAGCCTAGTAAAACAGCATGGTTTTTGGTTTTTTTAAATTATACAGGTCTAAAGGGCTTGTTGTGAAGGACAAAAATCCTCAGTACAAGGTATTTAAACAGTTGACTTTTAAAATGGTTTTTCCAAATTATTATCCCATCCTCCTCTGTCCTTTTCAGCCTGTATAACAAAGAGGCAAGGCTCCGCATACAGCTGAGGCTTGAAGCTGTAGGTGCCCACATGCCAGATACTTTGACATTGGAAGTGTCTGCAGAGCATCTTAGTGCCGGAGAGAGTATTCATTCGGGAAAACCTTACTAGGTTAGCCTTGACTGGCTGTACAAGTGGGCAAATTTTTGTACTACCATAGCACAGAATAAGGGATGAAAGGGCAGTCTGGCACATCTGCGGACAAAGCAAGCAAGGCTGCAATCCACCGGTGGCACGCAAGAGTCAGTAGGTGAGAATCGAAGCCATCGGCACCAACCAACTGGAGGAGCCCCACCGGCTCCAGTGGGAGCCTGGTAAGCAAGCCTGTTCCCGTGGATCCAGCGGAGCAATGGAAATCTGTGACACTCTAGTCTACGAGGCTCACTTTTGAAATTATGGTGTTTCGGGCCGGAGCCGTCTTTGGCTGCACTTACTTGGAATGAAAAGGCTACGGAAACAACGGGGACGTTCTTCGGAGGGAAGGATCAGGCTTTCAAAGGAGAATTGCACAGAAAGTTGCCTGCCTGGGATGCAGACGAAGGAGAAAGGGAGAAAAGCGTAGATGAAGGGGAAAGGGGAAAGAAGGCAGGGGGGGAAAGCGGAAAGGACAAGTGACTGGGGGGGGGCGACTTCCAGC